GAGAGCCTGCAGAGAAGGTGACTTCTGAGAAATGATCAGAAGGAAGGGAGGGAGTGGCTCCCTTGGGGAGAGCACTTCAGACTGAGGACAGAGGAGAGCAAAGACCCTGAGGGGGAGGGTGTCTACTTCCTTAAGCGGTTCAGAAACTAGTGACCAGGAGCAAGAGGAACAGCAGACCAGGGTGGGGAGGAAGGGAGGTCTCGTGAGTCTCCGTAAGGAACGTGGGTTTATTTGGCTGCGATGGACGACGTTACAGGGTGTGGCGCAGAGGAATGATGTGGGTCCGGCGATGCTTCACCCAGACCCCCTAGCAGCAAGGGACAGACGGAGCAGGGAGAGGGGACCAGGTGGACGTGCAGGACAGGTGAGGGGCAGCGGGGGTTGGAGGTGTGGAGAAAGGTGGGCTTTGGATACCTGTTGGGAGAGAACAGGGCTGGCTGGAGGGCTGGGGACGGGGTGGCGTGAGGTCAGCGACGGACCGGTGGGGAATCCTGGCCGTTTTCTGAGATGGGCAAGAGCGTAGGAGGCGCCTGCTAGACACTGGGTGGGAATCCTGGCTGGGCAGGTGGGTGCCAGAGTCTGAAATTCAGGGGAGAATCCTGGCTAACAAAACGAATCTGCCTCATTCCACTCTGGAAGTGGATCACATAGGAACAACTAACTAAACCGTAAAAAAACATCGCGATGCTTTGCTTTTTTAAAGTTTCTCATTGTGAGCCTATTAATGAGAATTCACGGTTTCTTTTTTCCTTTCTCTTAACTTCCTCAGACCTCAGAAAACGGATCGATGCTAGCGTCTTTCCCTGGGCTGAGCCCCCTTGCTTGTCATTAGGATGCTAAACTTAGGGCTGACACGAGGGCAAGAAACTATGCAAGACATTAAAAAATTGAACCTTTTTTTTTTAGCACATTGTAATTTAAACACAAAGAGAATATTACCCACTAGTATAATTTACTTGCTCATAAGTTATTCCAAACTTAAGTCAACTAAAACTATGAACAGAACAATTACAGTGATAAACGGACAGATGCAGCTCGCCCCAGGGCCCGTGGAAACATCTCGTACATGGTATGTTTCAGAAAGCAGTGCAACCAGGGAAGCCATTTCAGAGAGATAACACAATCTGTAGTTATGATTATATCACTGAGTGTAAACAGTAGTCGTGACACCACTTTGCAGCGAGTTCTAGGAACAGAGCCACAGGTTTTAAAATCTGCCCTTCCAAATAATTATGTCTGAGCCAAGGAAAACCAGAGGAAAGGGAAGCTCCATGCACCCACAACAGACGTATCCGACGAATGCTTTTCGTTAACAGGACTGTCTGTTGGGAACTGGGGAGGGTGCTGCTCTGCTCTGCTTCGGCTCCCCTTCGAGGCAGGGAGGGATCGATTGACAGAGGGCAAGGATGTAAAGCTGACGGGCGGATGTGGGAGAATTCTCCGGGCACTTAGTTCATAACGTTCTGCTGATATTTTCCCCAAGGGTTTATACGACAATGCATTGTATTGCTCAATTTTCCCACATTTTTTTAAATTCAGCTTTACATTAAGTAATGATCCTGTACCAACCGCCCCATCCTCGTCGGGTATCAACCGAATCAACCGTTGCGGCTGCAAATGCTCAACAAGCAGGACGCGGCGGCATCAATTCACCGAGCGCGTTACGACAGATCAATGCAAACTGTAAAGTCATTCGTCTTTAACGTTATACTGGAGGGAAAATCTCTAGCTCGAAAATAACAGCTGAGGTTTTCAGGTATCCTCTTCCCTCCAGAGTCTTATATGTTGGAGTTAGAAGGGTTAGAAGGGCACAGGCAGATTATCTAGCCTCGTAATCCTCGCACTGAGAGTGTTGCTAAAATTGGATTCCGCCAAGCAGAATGCTCAGGAGAAGAAACTACACCTACTGTTGCCATCATTAAAAAATACCGAGTGGCAATTTCATAATCTCTTGATCTCAAAATGCTTAAATCTCTGAATAAAGACTACCTCCTGGCCCCCAATCACTCAAGGGTGCAAAGAAGGTTGGGGACGGGGTATTTACCACGTTCATTTCAGAAGCCCTTTCTGTGGCATAATGTGGCCTGTTTAATTTTTCCAAGCTTAAAATAACTAGAAATGTAGAGCATTATACACATTTAATATCTTAATGATTTTTTTCCTGAAAACATTATTGATTACAAACCGATGAAAAAAGGAACTTCTAAATCTTCTCATCCCGAGGGGTAATGTAGAGAACCGCCCTCATTGTACAGGAGAGTCGAAATCCCTCTCTGGCCTCTGCTCACTCAGCTCCACGGCGGCGCCTCCCACTCACAGAGCACCGGCCCGCCCAGGAGGGAGCCGTCCTTGCAGCCCTTCTTGTCAGGCCTTCAGAAGTTGGCCTCCGAGGAGGACCCCACACCCCGCAGGGAAAGGAGGGCTCCACGGCCGCTGCCGCCACGCGTTCTACTCCCGAGCAGTCTCAGAGCAAAGACCCCTACACTGGAAGATATGCCACGCTTGCAGCGAGAGAAATCCTGAGACAGAGGTAAACAGAGGGCACCGTGTGGCCGAAGCAGACCCCGCGCTGGACATTCATCATGAAAATTTCGTCATATCCACAGCAAAACCCTTCACTGGAGGAACAATCACGTAGCTTGTGCAAGAGACGGCGTGCGTGGATTTAATCTGGAATATCGAGGGCTGGTCTGGAAGAGAAACCCAGCTCTGGGGATGAAGCCGGAATGTAGAGACTAAAGTTTATCGACTGGCTGGGAAAAGAATAAGGCCCCTTCTGAAGGCACGGGCACCCACCGCCTGTAGACACATGATGGGATCATGATGTCAGCCACAGGGATCTCCATGGCGGGTCTTGTGTGAAGAATGCAGGTGACTTCCACGTGCAGCCTCTCAGACACGGCTCCACGAGGAGCCGGAACAGAAGACAGGGTGCCAGCCACGGTGGACCTGAGTGCGCACTCCATCCTCTGGAATGTGCCCTGGACGGGCCCCACCTCCCGCGATCAGCCTGGGATACGAGAGGGTGCGTTCAGCTGCCTGATCTCACCTCCGCCACAAACACGGTCCCTGTGCCCGTTCCGCTCCTGCTCGACTCACTGCTTACCCCGTTCACCCCTCCCTGTTTATGTGTGGAGAAGCTCCTAACGGTCTCGTTCACAGGATGCCCGCTGCGAGTCTTACGCCAGAATAGGCAACTTACAAACATCTCGGTTTATCTGCATGACAACCCTATAAACAAGACCACTAGGTTAATTTTGTAAGGGATGAGCCTTGAATAAGGTACGTGCTTGTACAACCGTGGAATCCTTGCCTCTCTCACTTCTAATCCTACGTCCTCTCTTCTGGGAAGCACTTATTGATCAACTTGATGTCCAACTGACCTGGCATCGGACCTCATACAGATTTAATGTAAGGGCTGCAGCTGGTATGCAGCTCTGCACTGAGCTTCAGATCCTTCCTGCAGGGGTTTCAATCATGAACATAAAATCACTTGCAAATCATTGTAAATACTGTATCTCCCACTCTAGAACATTCTGGACTAAAAGCTAATAAGAACAAAATATTAAAATTTTATTTAAAAAGTCTTCCTTCCTCTTTCCCCTTCACTTGTTTTCTACTTAAGTTGTTTCCACTCCTTTTTAGTCTAATTTCATTTGAAGGTTACTGGCCATGACTATTAAACAGAAAGTATAAGGAAAACATTTACAGATTGAGTTTTTTAGGGGAGGGGACCCAAGGACCAGAGTTGCCGTCAGAGTTTAGGTGTACCCGTTTATTAGCTTTAGTGGAATATTTACCACAGATGAGCCTCGTGCAGAAACCTGGTGCAGCACACAGAGGAAAACAGAGTCCATCGACCTGAAGACGCTCAGGAGTCTGCCCCGCCCGCTTCCACCTCTAGCGCTACTGGGCGTTCGGAAAGCAAATAAAACGCGTAGCTCGGAAATACCGGGTAAGGCGCACCCGCAGCGCAGGGCAGTGAGAACGGCACAAGTGGAGGTCACTAGGGACGCGTAGAAAAGGCCCCCAGCAGGTGGAAAGTCCTAGAAAGAGCGTGACGCAGAGCAAGGGCCACACTGGACATCAACGCATGTGGTGTGTCCAGGGAGCCGGCGGATCCCCACTTACGGGGACCAGCAAAGCCACAGGGGAAGCTGTCACAGAGGAGTGAGCACAGACCTCGGCAAACAAAGCCAGAGAACGCTGACTGTGCCTGGAGCAGCCAGACGCGGCGACCCGCGGCAAGTCTCCAAGAAATGCATCGGATGGCAGCATGCGGCCAAGGGACAGAGGGCCCTTCTGGCAGAGAAGCACGATGACATGGCTGAAGAGTGGCAAGGTGTCCTATGGCTGCACAATTACAAGGGGTGCCTGAGAGGGGGGGACTCCAGAATGGTGGGTGTGGAAGAAGATACCTCCACGCACCCCGTGGCCGCTCATGGGGACCTGCCGTGTACGGGCGGGTGCAGGCGCAATCAGCAAGGCATGGCCTTCAGACCTGTTCTCTCTTGGGGAGGACTCAGACACTGCCCTAAAGCTAGCTCATTCTTCAGGCAGCGGGTGATGAGAACGTCCCCACAGACAAATGACAAGACCAGACCTCTGTTTCCCAAAGATCAGCCTGGTGTGTGTGCGGTGGGCTGTGTAGACTAGAATGGAGACCGACGGGTATCAAGACGCCTGACAGTGTGACATTTATTTAAGAGAGACGCCTTCAAGGTCCAGCCTCAGACAAGGACCCGTGAGGGCAGAGGGTGGAGACAGATTTGAGGTATGTTTGGCAGGTGGGATCCACATGGCATTCCTACCCCAGAGTGTGAAGCCAGTGCATGTCCTGTCTCCAAGAAAGCACTTCTGCACTTAGACAAGATGAAAGAGATGAAGTGGGAAAAGCAGTTTATAAAATTACCTCTCCTTAACTGTCCCCATTCTCTCCTCTACTCCCCCTTTAATTGACACATCGATCTTCATACAGAGAGAAAGAGAACTCTACTCACAGACAGAGTTTTTATGGCTGCCGTCCTTGCTGGGTAGCATCTTGACACCTCTCGACTTCAACTCGATTGCCTTTTTCACTGGAAGAAACAAAATGAAGCCATTAGTAGGTGAAACCTGGAGATCATAAAACAATGTTTCATCCTCGTCGTGTTTCCCATCATAACTGCTCTCCTACCGATCCCTGAAAATGGGGCATGCTCTAAAAGGCTAATGATGCAAAGAAAACGAAGTAGATGAGCTTGTGAATAATTAACAGGAGGCTATCAAGCAGCAAGATCGTATCTTATGATAACCGTGTCAGATCTAGAAATAATGTGTGCTGCAGTTGGCCTTACACATCCAGCCCTGTTGACGGCTGGCAACGGCAGATCCCACAAATCATTATCATCTCACCGAAGAGTCCGGGCAGATCGCTCTCTCCGTTTATGCATAGCGACTATGGAGCTTTCTAAATTTGCTATGCTCGTGAAAAATTTTAGAAAAAGCCACCAGTTGCTCATTCATTTATTCATATATTCACGTCATCACGTAGAGTTCAGCAGACCTGGATGGATGCAGGGGTAGGGCACGGGGCAACAGCCCCTCCAGACCTGCACGTGCTATAAGCAACGCAAAAGGCACGGGTGGCGTTGGTTTGTAACGTCGTGCTGCTCAGATTCAAGTAAGTTTCTTGGTTTTCTAGGTCCTGCATTAATAAACATTTTAAGAAGCTCCACTTTTCTACTCGTTTCCAGAAAAGCAAAGAGGAGAGAGGCATTTTGTGACAAGAAAATAGAACATGATCTGATTCTCTAAGAAATCTTACGCGTGGCTTTAGTAAGTGTCCAGCGGAGAGACTGGACTGAGAGTCGCCGCCAGCAGGCGGATGCGGGTTCAGATCTTTGCTTGGGACTCGGTAGCTATGCAGCCTGGGTAAGTCACTTAGCTCCGAGCCTGTTCATGTATCTGTGAAACTGGTGAGATGGCGAGTTCTGTGTGTCGACTTGACTGGGCCACAAGGTGCCCTGATATTTGGTCAGATGTGACTCTGGGTGTGTCCGTGACATTGAAATGAGCAAAGGGGGTGAGCCCGAGGGCCCTCCCCTGCATGGGTGGGCCGTGCCCAATCAGGCGAAGGCCTGGATAGAACACAAATGCAGACCCTCCCCTGAGGACAGACTTCTTCCTGCCCGATGGGCTTGAACTGGAACATCGGCCCTCCTGGGCCTCCACCGGGCCAACTCACGCCCTGCATGCCTTGGGTCTTGTCGGCCTGCATGAGTGTGTGAGCCAATTCCTTGAAATAAATCTCTTTTTATTTACACACACGTGTCAAGAGATTTACATAAATAAAGCACACACAGTTGGCCCGTGAGCAACGTGGGCGTCAGGGCACTGTTTTCTGCCCCTGCCCCTTTGAAAATCTGCATGTAACTTTTGTCTCCCTCAGACTCAAGAACTAACAGCCTCCTGGATAACACAGTCACTTAATGTGTAGACTAGTATCTACATATATTTTATGCCTTCATGACATACCTTTTTCTTATTTTTTTATATTTCTAGGGTATACAGCTCATTTTAAATTTTTTTAAATCATCCCCAAACTCCAAAAATATTTCAATATATTTATTTTTAAAAATTCATGCATAAGCAGAGCCATGCGGTCAAACACACGTTGTTCACGTGACGGAACTATTTTAGCACAAAAACACAGGACCCCCGACAAAGCCCACCCTCAGCTCCAGCTCAGCCCTGGCTCAGAGTAAGGGCTCAGCCTCCTCCTGCCCGGGCTTCCTGGAGGCAGATGAGCTTCGGGAATCCCAAATCAGGGCTCTGAATGCATCTGAGCAGGAAACACTACTTTTAGCCATGGTCAGATTAAATTCATGGATTGTTCCTAAGTAAATGAGACCAAGTAGGCACAAAATCATCTGCTTGTCACTAAAGTGAAAGGATAAGCTATTGATACTTTTAATTTAGCTTTTCTTTCTGACGTAATAGAATGAAAGCTGATTCACTCGCATTTCCTACATCCTTTATAGAAAGCAAGCTTTTAAATTCAAAGAAAAAAGCAATTCCTTGGCTTCTCCCCACCTCCCCCAGCTCCAGGAGGAGGGATTGATAGAGCAGCTTTGGAAGGGGAGGGGCTGGCGTTTGACAGGTCAGGAGTGGCCTCGACACAGCTGCCACCAGGCGAGGGGGGCTGAGGTGGTGGCACCTATGGTGCAGGTCAGCTCCCCTGGGGCACCCGGACCTCTGGGGACTGTCGCTAACCTGCGGCCTTTCCTGAAGCTGAGGCCCTGGCATGGCATTGCTCTGGACTGCTCAACAGCTGATCTGGAAGCTCGGATTATTTTCAAAATGTTCTTATTCACACGATCTCCCCTATTTGATGATCCTACATGGTTAGCAGGGTCTGGAGGTTACAATTATTCCCTTTCTGTCATAATCGAAAGGTGCCTGGCCTTAGATTTAAAATCTTATCACCATTATACTAGCCATGTAACCTGATGAACCACTTAAACATCATAAGTCTCAGTTTTCAAATCTTTAAAAGTAAGAATAAGCACTGCTACCGTCTGAATGTTGGTGCTCCCTAAAATTCCAGTCGGAACCTAATATCCAACGTGATAGTGTCACGAGGTGGGGCCTCTAGGAAGCGATTAGGTCACGAGGGCTCTGCTCTCGTGAGTGGGTTAATTGTCCCTACAGGAGAAGTTGACTGGATCTCCCCGTCCCCTTCCACTACGTGAGGACCCCGCCAGCGGCACCGTCTCCGACGCAGAGAGCAGCCCTCACCAGACACTGAACCTGCCGGTGCCTTGACCTGGGGCGTTTCGATTATGTGCACATCACCCGGTCTAAGGTGTTGTGTGATAGCCTCCCAGACAGACTGGGATGGACACTTCTGTGAATTTTATTAGGATAACAGGGAGAGATGAGTGTGGAGGGAATATAAACTTTGGAGTGCTCCTCCCAGCAGTGTGGCTCGGGAAGGAGCAAATAAACCCAGTGCAGTTGTTTGGCTCAAAGAGATCATCACAGTCAGAGCCATAACTGGACCACGGGACTCCCAGGGTTGACTCTGCTCGCTGGGGGAGAAGGGAGCTGGACCAGTCAGATCCCCCCAAGGAAGGGCTGGGTGGAGTGTGCTCAGCCACAGACGGCCACCTCACCCAGGGTCCTTCTGGAAACAGACCAAAGAGAGAGGCTACTTGCACCTGTGGCTGCAGCTCCAAGCACCCTGCGGTTGCCGAGGCTCTGCGGACCTCCCTCCTCGGCCGGGACCCAAAGGGTGCTCCCTCCTGAGCACCCTGCACACCGAAGCACACTCAGAGACCGACGTGCACAGAACCCAGCGGAGGCACCCGGTGTCTCTCTTCTTTCTCTACTGACTCTTCACCCTGTTTCCTCTCACCCTTGTCTCTTTGCTGGGGCAATAAACAACGTAGAAACGGGAAAATGAGATCTAGAATCTGCTCGCGCTGCTGCAGCCCTGCTGGCGGCACGCTCGGCTCTCCCGTCAGATCTCCCCAGGATAACGGTTTAACTTGAAATGGCAAATGCCCTGATGTGTGTCCGCCATCGTCCACACTTTCTGGTGCTGAAATAACTTTATCCCGGAGTCACTCGGAGAGAGGCCACGTATGCACAATAAACAACGAACAGGAGAATCGATGGGAGATGATAAAGAACATAACATTCAAAGCAAATGTCGCCCAACATAAACAGATAAAACAAGCAGAACTCAATCCACTCAGAAAATAAAAAGGAAAACTGAGTAGCCTTTGGGGGGTGATAAAGGTGTCTGAATACACAGGACCTGTCTGAGAGTCTGATGAGATAACACATTTCATAATTTTGCAATTGAGTGTTTGGAGCTCTGTAAAGCTAAATTTCCACCCGGGACATTTTTATTTATATATTTATTACTTTTCAATAAGATGGTGTTATACCACCGTAGACTATCTGCTCCACTGAGTTCTAATTTGTTTCAAGTTATTATGTTCTCTTATTAGACAGCTCTGATTCCTGGCAGGGTCGTACAGAAAGGGAAGGTGACTGTGTGTCCTCACTCCACCGTGTCTGGCTTTATCCTCTCCTCACCCCTCTGGGGCTCTTCTTTTCCTCCATCCAGACTCCTCCTCCTCCTCCTCCTCCTCCTCCATCCAACTTCTCTCAGAGCTGGGCAGACAGATTTCCATTTGCAAAGAAAGGGGAGAGAGAGAGAGAGAGAGAGAGAGAGAGAGAGAGAGAGAGAGAGAGAGA